TAATTTTCCAAGAGTAACTGATGATAATTGCTTAGCTCTATGTTTGTCTTTCTTGGTAACTGGCAACCTAGAAAAATATTTTATAAGTAGAGATAAAACTATAAGGAATATAAAGGTATTTATTTTTAAGTGGGAATTGTAATTTATACCTTGTAAAATAGTCTTCTTCATACTTCTGTCTTTCGTAATCATATTTGGACTGTTTATTTTTTAAGCCAACTGTATTAATTTGCACTTCAACTGGTGTATCTGCATATTCCTCTCGTAACTCTTGCATAACCGAACTTTGTAGTGCTCTTTTTTTTGCTCTTTCCAACAATTTTTGTTTTTTAACTGCTCGTGACTCATCTCCATCATAAGGTACAGCTGTAACCTTAGGTGCTACATAAACACCATCCTTAATTTTTTTTGAAGTATGACGGCCAGCTTCATCATTATCAGATTCTTCATTTTCCTCATGATCTTCTGCATCCGCTAATCCATCAATAGTAGCACGAAACCGATCAGGATCATTAGGATCAACAGAACCAGATAATGCTGTTTTAACAAGCTTATCAATTTGGTATTTAATTTTAAATTCAAGAGGCCTTATGCGTTCTAGAACAGTTCGTTGCTCCACAAGACGTTCGATTGATGGGTCATTTTTAATAGATTGAAATTTGCATTTTTTTAGTATAATATGAGTTAAATTATTTATATAACTTAATAATGTATGGCATTTTATATCTAATAAGCTTATGCCATTAGAAAAGTTATAATTTTTGTTAATAATCTTATTCGTTGATTCTTTAGCTTCCAAGATCCCAGACTTGATGTCTTTAAGCAATTGTCTTGTTTGAGCACTATAATCCGGCTGAGTTGCTTCTTYTTCCATTATTGTACTAATTATAATAGACTATAAAGATATAAATCAAATTTTGAAATTTGAAATTAGAATATTATCTATAATCGTGCTCATGACAAAATGAGTACACTAATCACTGAACTCTATAGATATAGAGTTAGAGTATAGAGTTCAGTGACACTGATGTACCTAGCCACTTTGTAATAATTAGTTATTACTGTTATTAGGATTTAGTATTTACAACAAAACAAAAAAAAAATAGTTACACATAGCAACATAGCACATGGTCTGTAAGCAGTAGCCAGTAGCACATTACACCTTATCAATTATCAAAAATCAGCATGAGCGTAATGTTATCACTGTAATCATTTATAAGTAAAATGTTGAATTTTCGATTTTTTTTCACCGCTAGATAGCAGCTTCAGCTATTGCTGGCTGCTAGTTATGAAGTAGCACGTCACAGAATAGATTAAATAGCACCAAATTATGGGGATTCATATTCAAAAATTCAAAATTTTTTTTTTCATGCGAACTCGAACTTGTTCCAACTGAAAAACGTCTTCAGCATCCAATTTGTTTGCTAACTATTGCTTTTTTAGTATTTTTTCAAAGTGCTCATCATATAGTACGATACTTTTAGAAAAAATGTTCATAATTTTATTGTTCAATTAATCAATTGTTTATGAAATATTCAATGATATTTTTTGTAAAAATGTACTAGATACTAGATAGGTACATTGATATCGTAAAATAAATCATAGGTACCAGATTACTAAAGAACATGAAAACAATAGAAGCGTTTTAATTTCAAAAGGCATAGCCTTTAACTTCAGCATGGCTTCGAACAGTTCGAACTCCCGTCGTCTCAACAATGAGTAGGTGGACAGTGTCGTCTGTTATAAGTGTTATAACCTTATAACTTATAAATACTAACGCATCATAATTTTCACCAACTTGAAATTTCATAGCTCTAATAGCATCCACTCAATACTATAGATCCCTATAACTATTAACAGTTTAAAAATATAGATATGATGTTTATCAAAGATTTTTCAATCTATATATGTATATATAGGGCTCGGATGCATTTATTTATGAATATACTGTAATACTGTATGGCGTATGCTAAGTAAGCACAAAAATACAAAATGTGTTTAGGGAGATTATGAAAGTGTGATTAGAATAGATACCAATTCTGTTAGACCATATTTTAACATTTTATAGTTTTTACTTTTTATATCATATATTAAATACAATATTTAGGTCATATTATTTAATATTTAGAAAACAATTTATTACACTATTTGTATCTTAAATAAATACTTTATGAGCAATTTTTAGGAAATAAAAATTAAGGTTATTAATTTAGTAGAATAATAATAAATAAACATTGCTATTTGCTGTAACTTGTTTAAACTAATTTAAATCAGTCTCAGTTATAGATTGAAATACTATAGCCTATGCCCTATAGGTAGACAGACGACTAAACAAATTCCATGTATGCTCGTAAGTCGTATGTCATAGCCCATAGGCATCTTAAAAGCATAATATACCGTGTGTTCCATTTTAAAGGTAACAGTAAATATTTCGATCGCGTGACCTTGAATTTGATTCGGGGTTTTTATACTGCAAATAGTACTTATAAATACATCTATTTTTGATAAATTCTAATTTTTAATTATTTTAATCAGCGCATGTGTAGTAAAATAAAAATTTCTTAAATAGGAACCACTATTTTGAGGACCGGATTTCAATTGCTTTATTTTTTCTGAACAGCTTTGATCTTTACAGTTTGTTGATATCTTCAAAATTGCCATTTTTATGACGGTCGAAAGTTTAAAAATCAGTTAATTCATAAATATCGCATTTTTCAACGCTCTATCTTATAATTACACATTTATAGGTATTATTATAACAATTTATTTTTATTAAAACTACAATGTGTATTTATTATTACATMGAATTTATAAAAAAATATCATTATAATTTATTCGTTGAAAAATGCGATACGTAGTTTTCATCCGTGTATCTTATATGGGGGCTGCTAAATAGCGCAGACAATTTGTACTTTATCCGGAAAAGAACACAGACATTGCTACAAATCATCACTTGCACAGTTGCACTGCAGCTTGCTTTCACACTAGCACTCCAGAAGACATCCAAAAAGACACAACCCACGGAATCTGGGTCAAAACAATATAAATCCATATAATATAAAGTACATATAATACAATATAAAGCGACCGTGAAACAGTCAACCATATGATCATCAGATATCATATTAGACATTATTTTATTCTACTTTATATCACTTAGGTAGTGTAAATATGTATATAATTTATTGTATTGTTTATTTTAGGTTATTGATTTATTGATTTTATGTTATGATTACTATTTATAGTATTGTTAATATTACTGTTATACAATGCGTCCAACACGAATAATAAT